ACAGAACGATCTTGTCGGTTACAATAACCCGTTGTACAAGCAAAATCTACGAAAAACAAATACATATCTAAATTTTACATACCTTGAAGATCACCCTTCATAAAACCGCATAACAATCGGACACACCAAACACAAGTTATTCACTTTTAAACAATAAACAATTTTCCGCAGCGATCGCGTGTAAAGTACCTTCAACTGAAAGCGTCAAGTTTAAACTGATGTACAAGACAAAATATACGCATTTTATATCATCTTTTTTCAATACAGGATGGAGACAGGTATCAATTTTTGAGGTTTTGCCGATATTTTCGAGAATTGAAACACTGTGCGTCGGTAAAATTTATCAACTTAAACCTCTAAAACCCGAAGTCGATAGGTATACTTCACACTTTTTGAATAGCTTAACCCATTATTTAAAAAAAAACTAATAACAAAAATATTAGGAAATTTTTTATGGTTTTGTTGGTTTATTTGCCATTAAAATGGAAAACAATCATTTCCTTGATATTTTCTTTTGTTAAATTATGTAATTTATCCGATAAAATATTGTCGTCGCCATTGCTCTGATATAGTATCGCATTATTATAGTACCTGTATACCTATATACCTATAATACTGCCCTACTATAATTAATTAAATAGTTTCTTAACGCCAATATTTAAAAAGTTTATATTAACATTGTAGTGACCTTTTAATTTTGCCGGCAGTAAACTAAATATAACTTAAATTCGGGTTTGGCTCCACAGTGAAGTGCTCATAAAACATTTTCTTCACTTTCACTGTGAAAAACAGTTGTTAATTCATTTTCAAGAAATACATTTTGATTTATTACCTTTATAATCTGTGTTTTTAACACATACAAATTTGAAACACAGATTCCCCATTGTTTTATAGATGGCGCTATATACAAATATTTAATTTAAGTCCTTTTAACATAATAATAAGTATTTGTCGTTGAAAAAGTATATAAACTTTTTTATAAACTATTCTAGACACTCATTAATATGGCGTTTAGGGGCCGTTCATTAATTACGTGAGGTGTTTAGGGGGGGAGGGGGTCGAGCCAAACCTCACCAAATCTCACGTGGGGGGAGGGGGGGTTTTCGGCAAATATCACGTAATTTTTTTTTTCCGAAAGAAAGAGTGTAAAATTGCGAGAAAACTGGGTTAAATTAAGTAAACAATTATAAGCAAATTGTTTTTTAGATAAGTAAATCTAATGGAATCAAGCACAGATTAACTTATTTACATTAAAACCATACATTTTAAAAATCTCACGTGAGATTAAGGGGGGGAGAGAGGGGGTCGAGCAAAATCTCACGACATCTCACCAAGGGGAGGGGGGGGTCGAAAAATCGCCAAAATTGTCTCACGTAATTAATGAACGGCCCCTTATCAAACTTGATAATATATACTATTATTCCACATAAGATTGTAAAATAGATCACTGTGCACCGGATTGACATAAAATTTGCGGTCATAGTAACATATGTAATGGGTGCACTTAAAGCGTTGTTTGGTTTTGTATTCGGGAATATGTTCGAATACATTTTTTATAAAGGAAACCGAAACGGTTCCAAGCATAGAACATACAAAAAGTTCTTTGGGAATTTTTTAAACTTCAATGAAGTATATTTCTTGTGTGTATACATAATATATTATATGGCACCCGTTTCTAAAGTTTATAAAGCAATTTTTTAGAGTTAAATTTTTAGGCGAGCGACTTATACGCGAATTCCGTAACGCAGAATACATTTTTATTGTTTTGTAGCTATTGCATACAAATTTGTAATTTACAGGGCTTCAATTAAAAACTTAAAACTTTTAAGCTATAGTAAATATAATCTTGAGCAATTTAGATATTAAGGGGTACTACAAATTTTATGTTGCACCCTCTCATCTTTAGCTACCCTAGCTCGCTAAAATATTTTTTCTTACTACCTCGGCCGAAAATACGTTGTTTCGTCCCCGATTCCACGGCAGAAAGTTTACGTTTGATGCATTGGTCAAATTTACGTTTGATACATTGGAATCGGGGACGAAACAACGTATTTTCGAGTATATTACACTACAAGGGCTACGAAGGCTTCGCTCGTGCCGCAAATGTCGGGGCAGGCATCAATATGTTTCGATATACACATTTAATTTTTTCCAGTATTTTCGGCCGAGGTAGTAAGAAAAATAGTATACACTACACGGGCAGAAAGTGTGAGAGCCCTGAACTGCGCGCCATGATGCCCGAGGCGCAGTGCAGGAATCTCGCACTTTCTGCCCTTGTACTACAAGGCTTGTAGTGTAATATACTATAAATGTACCTTGCGACACATCATTTTAAAGGAAATGCAATTTCTGATCCATTTAACTTAAACATTAAAATTTTTTGTTATATATTTTAAAATTTGGCATGTAAATACGCTTTTTGAATAAACGTGATAAACTGACGACTTTAAGATTTTGAGAAACACGTACGTCGTACAATGTGAGTCTTACATATGCATTTAAAAGTTTATATTTGTGATTTTGAATTTGTTGGGTTTTAAAAACTCACTTAAATTTTTAGATTATTTAAGTGCACCAAGTATAATGTACATATCATGCAAAAAATGCTCTTAATGTTACTTTGCTCTTTTAAAGTACTCGCAACCAATTTAATTCAATTAATCTATACCGGGTGTATGTGAGAATAGGCGCACCCCTGTAACTTTTTTATTTATAAAGATAGACACATGAAATTTAGCATGGTTAATTAGGATATAAAATGCCACCCATTAGAGTACAAAATTAATTTTTTGAACTTCTGGTTTCGCCGGAAATGTTACCAACTTTTGATTTTTAAATGGAATGCCCTATATATTTTTACATATTTGGAATCCTGAGAAAATTTTGAGTCAGACAGCATCCTCAAATTGACCTTTTGACGTTTCGTTAAAAATGCATCATAATAAAGATCAATCTAGAGTGCTTTGAACTATTTGAGGAAAACGAATTTAGTCTGCTGGGAATAGCTGAATAACAACTTTCAAATGCAAGTTCCATTTTTCAGGCATTGTGTGAATCCATTAGAAGAAAATAAGATAGTACAAAGCACTCTAGATTGATCTTTATTATGATGCATTTTCTGATGACGAAACGTCAAAAGATCAATTTGAGGTTGCTGTCTGACTCAGGATTTCAAATATGTAAAAATATATAAGGCATTCCACTTAAAAATAGAAAGTTGGTATCGTTTCCGGCGAAACAGGAAGTTTAAAAAATTCATTGTGTAATCTTATAGGTGGCATTTTATATCCTAATTAAATATGGTAAATTTCATGTGTCCATCTTTATAAATAAAAAAGTTACAGGGGTGCGCCTATTCTCAGATAAACCCGGTATATTAGGGTGGCCCAAAAAAAAAGAATATTTTTTTCTCTCGTCTCTTGTGAAAATATGTTGGTTTGTCATGTTTTAAGAGCTCTGTCAAAAGATCAGCTCCATTAAAAAATTTTTAGGGGTCGCTCAAGATTTTTAAAAATTTCCAAAATCGTCAAAAATTTGATTTTTTTTTCGTTCAGATATAATTTTTTAATTTAAAAATAATGATGATTCTAAAAATTTCAAATCGATATTTTGATTTCTAAAGGTCGCTCAAGATTTAACTTAGTAGAGTATTTTAAATGTTTTTGAGCGACATCTGAATATAAATATCAACGAACTTTTAGCGACCTTTAGAAATCAAAATATTGATTTGAAATTTACAGAATTTTTATTATTTTCATCCAAAAAAATAATATCGAGACGAGAAAAAAAATTAAAATAAAACAAAAATTCAATTTTTGACGATTTTGAAAATTTTAAAAAATCTTCAGCGACCCCTAAAAATTGTCTAATCGAGCTGATATTTTGACACAGCATGATAAACTAACATATTTTTACAAGAGACGAGTAAAAAAAATATTCTTTTTTTTTTTGTGCCACCCCATTTTTACATTTTAGGTAAAGAGTAAAGAAACTTTTATGGAACATTTAATTGAAAAAAATGGTTTTATGCCTTAATGCAATAAAATGAGCATGCCCAAGTGCAGTTTAAAATATCTTGAGCATTCAATAAATTGTACTGTCAAATATTGATTAATTAATTAATCCTATGTTGTTTCACGGCACAACGGTTAAAGGTTGGTGGAAACAAGTAAACAATTTATTTATAGGAAATTTAATTTCTTACAAAAATAGTTATATACATTATTGGCATTAACTTAATGCAATAAAATGTAAAATTTAGAAGATATAATGCCTGTAACAAATTTTACTATTGATAAAGTAAGTACCTAATTAGTTTTATCGAAAATTTACAGTTACATTTATTAAATGCTCTATATCTTTTAAACTATGCATTTTATTGGATGAATGCCTAATATTATTATTATAATTATTTTTTACCTGTTACTTTAATCATTTTGCCGAAAAAGGCAAAAAAATTAAACTCGAGAATTTATAACTCTTTATTTTTATTTAAAAAACGGTTGAAGGAACTTTATCAAGAAGAATAAAAATCAGTCAACATATTGTGGCTAGCTTTCAAAACCTCTGAAATAAGATAAGGAAGCTACACATGCTTAGCCTCAAAAAACGGACACCCTTAATATAATATTTATATTAAACAATGTGGTCCTACACTTGCGACCTTGGCGAAACTTGGCTGCAGTTTTGACATCTACATTAACGTTACCATTAGCCCTTTCCGGTGTAAGTATTATTTCCTAAATTAACTAAATAATATTTTTAATTAATTTAAGCGCAAAGATAGAAACCTGAAATTTATTTTCTTAACCCGAAATTTATTTTCTTAACATTTAAATCTAATTAATTAAAAATGTTTTGAATATTTTTTTAATTAAGCTTTAGTAATTTAAAAAAAATTAGTGGATAATTTAAGATAACATTTTAATTAAATAGTATGCTGAATCAATAAAAAATTTACAAATTAATCACCAGTAAACACAATAAAATTAATAAGTTACCTATGTTTTGGTTTCGGCGAATCCGAATCATTATTTTCAGGAGACGAATTCAAATTTCTTTCAGCTCTCCTTTTAGGAGACGTCCTTTCCACAGGTTCCTTATCCACTTCCAACTTTCTCCTGAAACTCCTTCTGTGCTCCTTTGGACTATGCCTGAAAGAAAAAAAAATAAAGAATAAAAAGTATTTTTAATATAAAATATTTAATTCTAGTGTCAAAAATAATCAATTATTTAAAAAAAATATGTTTTAGTATTATTTAAAAACAAAAAAAATTAAATTTTGTAGATTTTTTATAGGAAACATATTCTAATATTGTTTTTATACCTATGATGCATTCTTAATTCTCTAGTAGGTTCAACATGCATAATCAGGTCCTCGTCTCTCATCACTTCAATCTTGTCGAAATCTGTTTGTGCTGCTTTGTAGGAGTTTCTTCTTCTTGCGTCCAATTTCAGTGCTTCCACTTGTTCGTCCATCAATTGGTCGACGCTTTTTTCTTCTTGATTGTGATGATGGTGGTGCACCAGATGAGGATTTTCGAAATTGAATTTAGGAATTTCAACCGCTCTTGGAGTAATGTTTGAATCCAGCTGCAAAAAATGGTTTTTGATATTTAAATTGCTTTTTTGCAATTTTAATATGAACTAATAAAAATAAGAAATTAAATTAATTTTTGGTATATACAGGGTGTCCCAGAACTCGCGCTACAGAGAAAAAATGGACGTGCTGATAGCAATGGAAATTTAAAAATAAAAAAACTGCTATGTACACTGTTTAAAATATCTGTGGTGTAAAGAGTAATATTAAAATGGTGTCAAAATCCAACACCAAGTGGTGTTAATATAAACACCATGAATTATTGTTGAAAATGTTATATACAGCAAACACCAAAATGGTGTTTATCTAAAAATATTTGAGAAGTGCACCTACACAGAAAAAGAGGAATAGTTCATTTAACTATATTAATTTAGTTGACCCATAAGTATTTATTTTTATCAACTGTGGGAAGGTTAATATAAACAAAGAATAGTTTGACGGTACTAAACCAGATAGTTATTTAATTTTTTAAATCGGTTAATTAACCCAGAAAACTTTAGTGAAACCAACCCGCTCTATGGTTCAGTTTACTAAATATTTTGTTTGTAAAATAAGAGTTAGTTCAACCTAAAGCACTCTGTTAAAACGATTAAAACAATTTGCCATGCATTCTCGGTTGCATAGTGTGTACCGATCGCGGCAAAGGCGGTGTGGATCACGTGATATTCTTAAATCTCGCCTCTGTTGACTTACATGAATAGTATATAAGCTCAAGTAGTCCTTTGCTTTGGTATGACACTACAAGTTGTTCGATAATAAAGAGACCTTAAATAGGTGGAAACAGCTGTCAATACTTTTATTATTTTAAGTTGGTGGAACGCACTAAAAACATTATCTCTAGCGAGTTAAAGGTTTAATTTTCTGGTAATATACTAGTAATGCGTCAAGGAACTTCCTGTTTCCTTTTTTTCCTTTTTTTCTTTGTAGTATGATTTAATTTGACCAAAAACACATAATATTTAACACTGAAAAGGAGTTTAATTTACACCAGGTAAAATTTATTTTAATACTGTGTGAAAGTTAAATTTACACTATTTTAGTATTTGAATTTACACCGGACCAACGAACCATATTTACCACCATTATAATTAGTGCAGTTTTAAGTAACTAAATTTATAAAAACATATTTGGAATATTATACGGACTGTATAATAACCACATCGACCTTATTAAATCTTATTATTCACATCTACTTCTTGTTTTTGTTGTTGTTTTTGTCTGTCATACCTTTCTAGTAATTTTAGAAATACATTTACACATTTACAAAGTTTTTTGTATTCTTTTCAGTTAGCTTTGTAATTATCTACTACTTTCCAGTCAAGGAATAGTTGTCAAAAATTACTTAACACAAAAGCGCTGTCCCTAATTTACTGGATTTTTTAGTAACCATTCCCGAAACAGTTCTCTTCAGTTATTTTAGTTTTTTGATTTTAAAAGAAAATTTGGAAATTCTTGTATTGATTTTTATTTTTATTGTTGTTTTATATTTTATTCCCACCTTCTTAGTAAATTACATTTTATAGGTTAATTTTGTTGTTTTTGTATCCAAGTATCCTGTAATATTTTACGGGCTTGTATAAAAGACCTGTAAAGTTTTACAGGCTTGTAGAAAAGCAATTTATGAAATGAAATGACACATTTGACTCATTAATTAAAATTTTAAATTCAAAAATCGTTATCTAAACGTGAAAATGAAAGTTTGTACGTGTAACGCTTTGCAGTTAATCTTTACTAGGCTCACTGAATAAACAAAATTTCAGCTCGCCCGTAAAGATTTATTTAAAAGGCTTGACTCGTAAATAACTATTACATTTTGGTTTTTGTATACAAAAAAAAAGAAGAGTAGTAACGCTATCGACCTATCCAGCTTATAGACAAAGCCTATAAGGTTCGGTCCTACTGTTTAACGTGGAATCCGAATCACAGTCCTCGATAAATTACCCCTGCAACGACTTTTTAACATGGTACAGTTGGACTCATCTACCGACTTTTAACCAACACAAAACTCAAGGCTGTGACCGGGGACTTAACCCGGTACCGACGGACGCAGTTTGTCTCGGCCTAGTAGCTTAACCCACTGCGCTATCGGCTGACCCTTTGTATACAATTAAAATTAAATTACTTAATTTGTTTTATTTCATAAAATTTTTATAATTTTTAGGTAAATTAGTCCTAAAAATTTAATAATTTTAAAGTGGTAAGAGTATCTATTAGATAATCTTTTTTGTAAAATTTATACATTTATAGAAATAGAAGTTACGATCAAATGAATATCTGAAAAATGCGTATCTTTTTCGAAAAGTAGTTTTTTTCCTATTTTCATGCAAGGAATCTTTAATTTGTTTGCAATATTTATGGATTACCTTGTATAATTAGTAAAGATGGGATTTTAGTGTTATTACCTATAATCAATTTACGTTTGGTAAATGGGAGTTTTTTTATTAGTTTAAAATATTAAAACAAGTTGTTCAGAATAATATTTTAATCCCGTATAACGACAATATTAATAACACTGCCAGTTTCATTGAAAAGAGCATTTACAATGACTGCTTTTCTATGAGTAATGGGAGCATGTTGGGGATGTATTAAGTTAAACTCTGCACCAAGTTCTCTGCTACAACAAGCATTTAAATTCTGTAATCACTGATTAAAAATTAACGCAATAAACTCTAAGTTTAATCTGAAATTTAACATTAACCAGTGTCAAATTATAACTTTTCATGGCTCTCTAATTATCATCTTAAAAAATAAACTTGAAATAATTTTGTAGACCAAAATAACCAAAAAATTAAAAATTCGAATTTTGTCATGAAAATTGGTATACGGAATAATATTCTGAACAACTTTTTCTATGAAATTTTTTTCGATATCTCTAACGCGAAGCAAAATATTGACAATTGACCCTGTTTGTGAGTTCGTATAGTAGGCTGTTTAAAGTTCAGATATCAGTTGAGTATCTTAAAAAATGTGATCCATCAACATATGTAGTGGCGTAACTAGCTTTTCACAAATTTTCCAATAGACGCAAAAAACGAAAATGGAGCATAATTATATCGGTGTCCAATTGTTACTACTGAAGGTGGCCCAAATTGTTTTTTTTTATCAAAATGTTCAACTATTCCGGCTACTTTTAAGCATAACATTTTTATTATTATCTGATCAGCTTGCAAGTAAAAAACATGTTTATATAGATACGTCAATTTGTAAAAATATATTTTTTTTATGTTTACACTTACGCCTATAAGATCGTGTAGGGAAAAAGTGATATAGATTCATAATATTATACTTTTAAACCAGTTTATTGTGATAAATAATGAAATTAGCAAAAATGTTTTACAACGGCTAATAAAAAAAGGAAAAAAATATTCAATCTTAAAAAAAATGCAAACAGTTTAAAACTGATTTTTTTTGGAACAAGGAAAAACAGCACTATTCTTTTTTGTCTTCTTCGTGCGGCAAAGAGTAAAAGAAGTTTTGAAGTTCGGGTGTGCGTATTACCGCTGTTTTGTTTTTGCCAGATGGTTTACAAAGAGCAGTTAAATCTTCATATTTCTTTCTGGAAATTTTAATTTGTTCTTTATTCAAATTATCAATAATTAGATGTCTTATTTCACCACACACAATTTACGAATAATAATATTATTTGAGGTTATGAAATTCTCAAGGTTAATTTGATGTTCCCTCCACATATGTACTTCCACAGTGTGTGGAAGTATGTGGTTCGCTCCCGATCGCGTGAGCACATTGGTTTCAGTTAAAATGGACCAAAAAAGTGACACGGCGTAAAGGCGTAAATTAATTTACGCCAATACGTGAGAAACACTTTTAGGGTTTATGCACTTACGCCATATTTTAGTAATGGCATTGTAAGCAAACTATTAGAAATACAGTTACGCCACTTGGTGAGGTTAAAAAGCACTTCAAAATAATACCTAAGGCGGCGTATCTCAAAATCTCAATTTTTGTCAGTTACGCCACAACGTAAGGAGACCGACGATATGTATGACTGTGCAAAGATTCAAATCTCTATTCCTTCAAATAACGAAAATATGGGGGTATCCTCGTCTTAAATGCGACACACTTTATAAAACACACTTATATATAAAATATAATATAGAAGTACAAACTAAACTAATCTAAAAATTTTTTTATAAACTATATATAAACTTATATACTGTAAAGATTTATAAGTTTTTGAAATGGTCTTAACTTAAATAAAAGAGGTTGGTTTGTTTGTCATAAAAGAAATACACTTTTTTTTAAATTTGATACCAAATATTAATGCATATTTTAATAATATCGATTTCAAACTCAAAATTAAATTTAAATGTTTATTAGGTTTTAAAGTGTGTACAGAAGTAAATAAATTAAGAAGAGCTTGAAACGTTTGTGTTTCAAAGAAGTATCAGATTTTACATTTCGTTTGTTTGTTTTGCTGGTAAGTGAATAGTAACATTTTATTTTACTATAAAAACATACGCTGAAACTTTAAAAAAAATAAAAATAATAATTGAGGTTGTTAGAATCAAGTAATGCTCAAAATTTTTTGGTTTTAAAACTACTAAATAAAATCATTTAAATATTTTGAAACTATTATAAAAAGTTATATCTAAACGCTCCAAAGTGTGGCCATTGTAGGGAATTTCTGGTAATAAATAAAAAACGAAATATAAAATCAAATGAAAATTTGATATTTCTAAACAAAATAATTATTAATCTGCGCATTAGTTTCTGAACCTCTTAGGCTTAATACTTTTTCCCTTCCTGACAGAGCCTCAGTCAAAAAGAGTTTCGCGACCAAAATTTTTTGGAATGGCTTGTGTACATCGCGTTGTTATAAGTTTTTTGTGCATTCGATTCATTACTTTTAGGTATGTTAAATTACTTTTTATTATTTTAAACAAAATTAACTTACATATGGGTCAGAATTTCTCAAACGGGCCACCTGAATTAGGTCAAAATTAGTTTTTGATTGTAGATACATTTTTTCGAT